GACACCTCTGGCCAGCTGAGGGGGGTGACGTTGCTGCTGACGCCCCGAGGCCTACCGCCGCACACCACACTTGGACCCCCTCCGGGTTTCCCGCCGCGACCTTCTTCGCCGCCTCTGCAGCCGACTACTGTTGACTCTGGTGCTCCTGGGGGTGGTGCTACTTGGGGTGCTGCGTCTGGGGGTGCTGAGCCAGTACGTGAGGTGCTGGGAGGTGTGGAGCCTGGGGGTGCTGAGCCTACGAGTGCGGAGCCTGAGGGTGCTGAGCTGGAGGGTGCCGGGTCGGGGGGTGCTGAGTCAGCTGGAGTTCCTACGGGTCGTGCTGCGGGGCTGGAGTTCCTGCTGCTGGGGATGCTGCTGCTAGAGGTACTGGGGTTGGAGGCCCTGGAGCTAGCGCTGTCGACCCTGGATTTGGAGGCCCCACGGTGCCCCCCCGCCGCTCACCACGCTTGGCGACCCCTCCGGGTTTTCCACCTCGACCGTCTTCGTCACCTCTGCGGCCGGTTCTGGTTGCCTCTGGTGCTGCTGGGGGCGGTGTTGCTCGGGGTCCTGCGTCTGGGGGTGCAGAGCCTGGGGGGCTGAGCCAGAGGGTACCAGGTCCGGGGGTGCTGAGTCGGGGTCTTCCTCTTTCTGCTGCTCGAGCTGCTGGAGCTAGTGGTCGTGGAGACGCTGGGAGCACTGGTGTTTCTGGTTCTGGACGTGCTCGTACCGGGGGTACTGGAGCTGCCAGGACTGGTGGTATTGCTGGAGCTGGAGGTGCTAGTCCTGAGGGTGCTGAGTCTCCTCGCGGTCCTCCTGGTGCTGCGTCGCAGCGGCCACCTCTCTCGCGACAGCAGCTACGCGAGTGGTGCGCTCAGCGCTACTGCTGTCGAGGTGCTGCGACTGGGGTACTAGGGCTGGACGCCCAGGAGCTGGTGCTGTTGCCTCTGGAGTTGGAGACCCTGGAGCTGGAGGTGCCGGTTCTGGAGGTGCTGCTGCTGGAGGTACTGAGGCTGGAGACCCTGGAGCTGGAGGTGCCGGTTCTGGGGGTGCTGCGACTGGAGGTACTGAGGCGGGAGACCCTGGAGCTCGAGGTTCTGGCGCAGCTAGCGACGCTGGAGCTGGAGGTTCTGTGGCTGCTGGAGGCGCTGGAGCTGGCGGTTCTGGAGTTGCTCGAGGTAGCGCTGGAGCTGGAGGTTCTGGAGCTACTGGAGGCACTGGAGCTGGAGGCTCTGGAGCTGCTGGAGGCGCTGGAGCTGGAGGTTCTGGAGCTGCTGGAGGCGCTGGAGCTGGCAGTTCTGGAGCTGCTGGAGGCGCTGGAGCTGGCGGTTCTGGAGCTGCTAGAGGCGTTGGAGCTGCTGGAGGTGCTGGAGCTGCTGGTGCTGGTGGCACTGCACAGCCGCGACTGTTTTTCGCTCCGCCGTCACCGTCGTCTCTGCCACCACCTGACTCCGTGCTTCGCCAGGTTCTTAGCCTCCCGTCTTCTACTGGTCTTTCGTTACTTCCTCCTGGCTCACCACTGCCTGCTCCTTCTCCTTACATTGAGCAGACAGGAGGTCCTGCTGAGCGTCGTGAGCCTGCGTCTCGTCCTGTCTCGCCTGTTCGCACTGGTCGTACTGGTCGTCGTGTTCCTCGTCCGCGTCCGCCGGCTGTCCCCGGCACGCACCTCATGGCCCTTCGTCCTTCCTCTGCTCCACAGCGTGTTCCCCTGCCGTCCCCTCCTGCGTCTTCTCTGCGTTACGTTCCAGACCCTGAGTCTGACCGCGCTCGTGCTGCTCACCCTACTGTCACGCGTCTGCTTGCTACCTGCTGTCACTGACCCTTCGTTTGAGTCCACTGCTGCGTCTGCCCTAGTCGCTGAGCTTGTTGACTTTGCTACTGCCTGTCGTCTAGACTACGCTGCTAGTCTTGTTGCTGAGTCTGAGTCTGTCTGTCCTCCGTCCGTCGGGGGTGAGTGTGCTCTAGGCACGGACGTCCTTGAGGACAGGCACGAGGACCTTGAGTGTCTTGCGGCTGCTGCGCCTCATCTCGTGGCCATGCTGCTTGCCCCTGAGGGAGATCCGGATGCACCAGACATCCCCCCCCGCACTCTTACGCTGACGCAATCGCGGGTGAGTGTCTCTCAGTGGCAAACAGCCATGGACGCAGAGATGGCATCCTGGAAGTTCACAGGCACTTACGTCAATGAGGTTCCCCCTCCTGGGGCGAACATCGTCGATGGCATGTGGATTTTCAAGGTGAAGCGGCCGCCGGGTTCTCCGCCTTTCTTTCAGACCTTCTCCCCTACCCCGAAGATGACCACTCTTGACTTCAGCACAGCCTTCTTACAGGGCAGCCTGCACGAGGAGATCTGGCTGCGCCGCCCACCTGGCTTCACTGGGTCGTTCCCTCCTGGTACCCAGTGGAGCCTCCGGCAGCCAGTCTACGGTCTCCGCCAGGCGCCTCGTGAGTGGCATGACACACTGAGGACGACGCTTGCGGCTCTTGGGTTTGCTCCTTTGACTGCTGACCCGTCGCTGTTCCTGCGCACCGACACTTCGCTGCCGCCGTTCTATATCCTTGTGTACGTCGACGACTTGGTCTTTGCCACTGAGGCTCTCGCTCAGGTGAAGTCGGAGCTGCAGAAGAGACACACGTGCACAGACCTGGGTGAGCTACGCAGCTACCTTGGCTTGCAGATCACCCGGGACAGAGCACGCCGCACCATCACCCTGACTCAGTCACACATGGTGCAGCAGGTCCTTCAGCGCTTCGGCTTCTCCTGGTCCTCCCCACAGGCCACTCCTCTGGCTATAGGTCACTCGCTCTCAGCTCCACCTTCGGACGAGTCCGTAGAGCCGAGTGGTCCTTACCCAGAGCTAGTGGGCTGTCTCATGTACCTGATGACCTGCACTCGACCTGACCTCGCATACCCTCTTGGCCTTTTGGCTCGTTACGTGGCTCCTGGCAGGCACCGAAAGGTGCACATGGATGCTGCCAAGAGGGTGTTGCGCTACCTGTGCAGTACATCAGGCATGAGGCTCGTGCTGGGAGGACGGAGTGAGGTGGTCCTTACTGGGCACTCAGACGCGTCTTGGGTTGACGACCAGACTACACAGCGGTCGTCGCAGGGTTACACCTTCAGCCTTGGCTCTGGCTCTATTTCTTGGCGGTCTACACGCTCGTCTTCTGTTCTCAACTCCAGTTGTGAGGCTGAGATCTACGCCACCGCCATGGCTGCACAGGAGCTACGCTGGCTCACCTACCTGCTGACTGACTTGGGTGAGCGGCCTCGTTCTCCTCCAGTTCTGTACGTTGACAACAAGGCGACCATTGCCTTGTGTGAGGAGCACAGACTAGAGCACAGAACGAAGCACATCGCTCTCCGTTACTTCCTGGCTCGAGAGTTGCAGCAGCGAGGTCAGCTTCGTCTTCGTCACGTGGCCACTCGGGCCAACACTGCTGATATATTCACCAAGGCGCTTCCGTCTGGTGATCATCAGCGCTTTTGTACCCTGTTAGGCCTTGTGCCTACGTTTCCACACTTGCTGTAGTCTTTGCTTGTACTGTGATCTCTATATATATACCTGCATGCTGGCTCTTGCTAGGTAGTCATCACTGTACTGTTGTTGTTGCATATATATATACCTCTGCATGTGAACTGGCCTTGTGGCCCTTTGCTTGTGCTTAGAGTGTGTGGTGACGTTGTGATCCACCCTAAGCTTGCTTTGCTTCTCTTGACTGGTCGTGTGACCCCTTGTTCTCTCCCACTTTGCCTATGGGGGTGTGTCAAACATATATGCTGCTTGTTATATCACTGTACTATTGTTGTTGCATATATATATACCTCTGCATGTGAACTGGCCTTGTGGCCCTTTGCTTGTGCTTAGAGTGTGTGGTGACGTTGTGATCCACCCTGAGCTTGCTTTGCTTCTCTTGACTGGTCGTGTGACCCCTTGTTCTCTCCCACTTTGCCTATGGGGGTGTGTCAAACATATATGCTGCTTGTTGTGTAGGCTGTATTGGGTGGCCCATATGGGGTACAACCCAAATTAGGGTTTCCTACTTGTACCCATCATGCTGCTAGTTCATTCATTCCTGCTTGGTATCTTGACATGCAACACCATTCACACTCGAATCTTGGACATCAAGAAGTGCCAGTCGAAGCACGCCACTCTTGAGGTTGACCCAACTGCTGTTGATGGTAAATACAATCCATTATTTTGCTCACACTGCGGCTATACATCTGTCACAAGCCTACCACTATCCTCTTCCTCCATAAGCCATTCTAACTTTGCATCCAGCGCATTCTGACTAAAACCCCCAGAAAGCCCATCCCCACCCTCCCCACCCTGGTGCTCTTCATCCCTTCCACTGGCGGCAGCGCCAGGGGTGTCACCATCCCTGCTCGCCCCTGCGTTGCCGGGCGGAGGTGGACGTGGGAGGGCGGAGAGGGAGCGCTTGAGAGCCTTGATGGAGCGCAGCAGGTCGGTCACAGTGGGCCGGGCGAGGGGGTCGGAGGCGGTGCAGGAGAGGGCGAGGCGCACCATGGGCAGCACGATGGCGTCGGGTGCTTGGGGCAGGTGGGCAGCGCGCAGCTGGGCTGTTGTGTTGCGTGACACTAGGCGCTGTGCCTGCACAGGGATGGAAATTTTGGACATGTTGGGGTGGGAATCGGAGGAATAAGAGGGAGGAGACGATGCATGAGTGCTTGTTGAGGATTCATTGAGGCGAACACACTGGTGGTGGCTTGGCATAGCAGGGTGGCATGGTGGTGATGAGTGTTGTGCAGTGGCATGAAGAGAGCCTGCCACTCACCCAGTCGCGGATGTGCACTGAGCCACTGCCACTAGAGTTGCCGCTTCCTGTGCTCATGCTACTGTTGTAGCTGTTTGTGCTGATGCTCTTGCTGCTGTTGCTGCTACTGCCGCCATCCCCGCTGCCAGAGCTGGTGCCTTGCTGGTGGTCGGTGCGTGCAGGTGCAGGGATGAAGGCGGGGCGACCCGTGATGAGCTGCAGCATTACCACTCCAATGCTGGGGGAGAGTGAAGAAGAGCGTAGGGGCGGGAGGAGAAAATGGAGAGGTGTTTGGCTGGTCAATCGAATCAGTTGATGGTTAGTCACGGCGAAAGCACATCCAATCAGCAGCAGAGTAACGGATCCAACTTTTAAGCAGACGGATTAGCAGCATTTGGTTCAGCATGCCTTATAGGAGAGAAGGAGGTGGGAGAGGCGATGAGGAGAGGGGACAAGAAGACAGGTAGAGTGGCATCAGTAGAAAAGGTTGCAAGAAACACTGCTGCAACGCCTGAGTGAAAAGGTCTCAGTGAAAAGGTCTGAGTGAAAAGGTCTGAGCGTTTTTTAGAGATTGTGAGCAGCAGGGTCGAGCGAAGCAGCACGATTGTTGAGACATGTCAAGAGCTGTGCAGCACGCACCTGAAAACGTCCGTGGAGGGCGTGGTGCGAGAAGAGGCATGCAGGATTGGGTCCATGTATGCATGGTTGGCAGGTCGCCCCGTGCCACTCTCTGGTGATGCCACCGATGCCCTTGCTGATGCTGCTGGCACTGGCGATGATTCTGCTGCTTCTGGTGCTGCTGCTTCTGGTGCTGCCGCTTCTGGTGCTGCTGCTGGTAGTGGCGGTGCTGCTGGTGCTGGTGGTGGTGGTGCTGTGGGGATGGATGGGAGGGGGTCGCCCATTTTCACGGCCATGCAGCCAGCCAAGACAGGCTGCGGGAACGGCATGGACGAGGGGTAGTGGAGAAGCAGAGTGAATGCAGCGGGCAAGGGAAGGGAGCGACGCAGCTGGTGGTTGATGGGTTGGGGAGGATGGAGCTGGGAGTATGTGAAGCGGCAAAGCGTGCATGGCAGATCCGCCTGTGTGTCACTGCACCTATGTGTCACTGCACCTGTGTGTCACTGCACCCGTGTGTCACTGCACCTATGTGTCACTGCACCTATGTGTCACTGCACCTATGTGTCACTGCACCTATGTGTCACTGCACCTCTGTGTCACTGCACCTATGTGTCACTGCACCTGTGTGTGTCACTGCACCTACGTGTCACTGCACCTACGTGTCACTGCACCTATGTATCACTGCACCTATGTGTCACTGCACCTGTGTGTCACTGCACCTATGTGTTACTGCACCTATGTATCACTGCACCTGTGTATCACTGCACCTGTGTGTCACTGCACCTGTGTGTCACTGCACCTGTGTGTCACTGCACCTCTGTGTCACTGCACCTGCATGGCAACAGGCAGCTCACCTGCAGCGCAGTGTCAAGCAGGATGTTGCGAGGGTGTATGCAGCCATGCACGACCCCATAACTCTGGATGTGCTTCAGCCCGCGCAGCACACCGCCTGTCACATCCAGAGACTGCCACACGGTCAGAGGCGTGCAGCCCTCTGCATGGCGGGAGGAGGAGGGGGGCACAGGGTAGTAGAGAGAGGGTACGGGGACATGAGGGAGAGAGGGTAACATAGACAGGGGAACAAGCAAGCAAAGATGCAGAGGCATGGAGGGGGGGGGTAAGCATGGAGGGAGTAGGGTGGTGGGGCAGGGGGACAGGTGTGGGTGTACCTGCAAGGAGGCGGGTGTGCAGATTGCCTCCTGGCACCCACTCAAACACCAGCACCTGCTCCTCTGCTCGCTCCTCTGCTTGCTCCTCTGCTTGCTCCTCTGCTCGCTCCTCTGCTCGCTCCTCTGCTTGCTCCTCTGCTTGCTCCTCTGCTTGCTCCTCTGCTTGCTCCTCTGCATCACTGGCAGCAGCAGTAGCATCAGCACGTGCACTCTTGGCATTATCAGCACTCGCACTCTTTGCAGTATCAGCACCGGCAGCAGCAGCAGCACTAAGAGCAGCAGCAGCAGGCGAGGGAGGGTGAAAGGAAGTGGCACGGTTCTCCCAGCAGTACCCCAGCAGTCGCTGCAGGTTGGTGTGGCGCATGGCCCACAGCGTCGCCACCTGCACGGAACAGACAGCCAAGCAGCCACAAGGAGGGGGGGATACAACGGCAAGTTAAAAGGGCACACCACAGCACAGTGCGTGCAGTGGCACTATTCACAACACAGTACAGTGCTCTCACCTCTTTCTGGAAGTCTGTGGAAAGCTCGTCGTTGCTGCGCCTCACCACGAACCACACCTGTCGCGCATCCACAGGACTCACTGCCTTGTACCTCTGCCCTCCACCGCTGCTGCTGCTAGTCTCCACCCTGCTACCGTCGCTCCACCCACCCGTCGCCTGTGCCACGAGGGCCATGGGGAGCTGTGGACAGCGGGCACGACTGAAGACGCGCGATGCTGCAGTGGGGAAGGAATGGGGGACGAGACGAGGGCGGGAGAGCAGGGTGAGAGGAGGAGGGAGATCGAAAGAGATGTTGGTGAGATGTTGGTGAGATGTTGGTGACATGTTGGTGAGGTGTTGGTGAGATGTTGGTGAGTTGTTGGTGAGGTGTTCGTGAGATGTTGGTGAGGTGTTGGTGAGATGTTGGTGAGATGTTGGTGAGATGTTGGTGAGGTATTGTGAGATGTTGGTGAGCTGTTGGTGAGCGACTATGCTGCAGCAGTGGCTGCAAGAGCAGCAATGATGAGCAGCAGCACATCACATGCCCCTTAAAGCCAGCCATGCCACATATCTTTTAAGGTTCTTGTGCTACGAATTTGCTCTTACCTGAGGCAGCTAGTGGCTGTAGTTTCGACCCCTGGCCTCCCTGTCTCACACACCCAGCAGCCACAGCAGCAGCAGCAGCAGCAGCCACCAGCAGACACAGCACGCCCACGGATATCCCCACGATTGCGGAGGTTGGCAACCCGGTGGAGGGTGGGGGAGCAGGAGGAGGGGCGAGGGGAGAGGAGGAGGCAAGGAGAGAGGACAGAGGAGGAGGCGGGGGGTTCATGAGCGCGAGGCTGGGAGGGAGAGGAGGTGAGAGGGGAGGAGGGGGAGGAGGGTGGCGGAGTTGGCCTGTGGGGAGAGAGGTGGGGAGAGAGGTGGGGTGGGATGTGGGGCGGGAGGAGTTGTGGAGGGGGTAGCTGTTAGTGTTAGCCATCAATCTCACACTTTGTACTTTATATCTTTTATATCCTAGAGTAGTGTAGTTTGCACTTTGTGTTTGGTTGGGTGTACACCTACATCCCAACCAAACCCAAATGTAATCTCCAAGCAATCTCCAACCCACCAATTGGAGATTGCCTTGGGATTACCCCCAATCCCTAGGGATTGCCCCCGATTTCCTTCCCCATCCATTCCTTGCCCTTCTTGGATGTACTTAAAGAGCTTCAAGCTACCTACTAATGTATCAGTTCTAAGCCTAAGTTCTGACAGTAGCAGCTGCTGTGCCGGGGAGCTGTGATGCCAATAGAAGCCATCAAGCTGTCAGATGGCAAGTGTCATGAAGTCTTTCACAAACCACATTCACAACCACACACGAGACACCATTCCACTTCAGTGAGAGATGCGCAGGTGTGCAGAGCCATGTTGTGATACTCAGTGCTCACCATTGAGTGGGATGCACGAGGCACAGAAGTCGAAGCACACATTCGTGCAGAAGAAGGAGGAGGCGTTCTGCTGGATCTCACAGCTGCTGCCCGCCCTGCCACATGTCACCCCTGGAGGGGTATATCTGGACAGGGCAAGATGGTAGGGGAGTATGGAAGAGTAATAGGAAAGGGTGTGGTGTGGAGTGCTGTGCAAAGGAGGATTCGAAAGGCAAGGTGCTTCATTCTTTTGTTTTGCCTATGCGTGTGTGTGTGTGTGTGTGTGTGCGTGTGTGCGTGTGTGTGTGTGTGTATGTGTGTGTGTGTGTGTGTGTGTGTGTGTGTGTGCGTGTGTGCGTGCGTGCGTGTGTGTGTGTGTTTGTGGGTGGGTGGGTGGGTGGGTGGGTGCGTGTGTGCGTGTGTGCGTGTGTGTGTGTGTATGTGTGTAAGTGTGTATGTGTTTTGGTGTGTGCGTGCATATGTACACAATTTAATTATCAGCATTTGCCCCACAAACATCTCTCAGTGCCTTTCGATGCTTTTTGTCTTATGTAGGTTCCCACGAGAATCATGCGTGAGGCATTCTGCATTCAGTAGTGCACCCGTGCGACAGTAAACTTGGTGTGCTCATTTGTGTTTTCCGTGGTTTTACAAGAAGATAGCAGTCAGGTGAGCCTTTACAAGGACACAAAACAGACTCACGCACGCACGCGCACGCGCACGCGCACGCACACACGCACCCACGCACCCACCCACCTACCCATCCACCCACCCCCCACACACGCACGCACGCACGCACGCACGCACGCACGCGCGCGCGCGCACACACGCACCCACGCACTCACCCACCTACCCATCCACCCACCCACTCACACACGCACGCACGCACGCGCCCAAAAAAAAAAAAAAAAACAAAAGAATGATGTGGGGTGAGAGGCAGTGCGTGCGACCAACATTTGAGCGAGGATGGGGAGAGCACCAACATTTGAGCGAGGATGGGGAGAGCACCAACATTTGAGCGAGGATGGGGAGAGCACCAACATTTGAGCGAGGATGGGGAGAGCACCAACATTTGAGCGAGGATGGGGAGAGCACCAACATTTGAGCGAGGATGGGGAGAGCACCAACATTTGAGCGAGGATGGGGAGAGCACCAACATTTGAGCGAGGATGGGGAGAGCACCAACATTTGAGCGAGGATGGGGAGAGCACCAACATTTGAGCGAGGATGGGGAGAGCACCAACATTTGAGCGAGGATGGGGAGAGCACCAACATTTGAGCGAGGATGGGGAGAGCACCAACATTTGAGCGAGGATGGGGAGAGCACCAACATTTGAGCGAGGATGGGGAGAGCACCAACATTTGAGCGAGGATGGGGAGAGCACCAACATTTGAGCGAGGATGGGGAGAGCACCAACATTTGAGCGAGGATGGGGAGAGCACCAACATTTGAGCGAGGATGGGGAGAGCACCAACATTTGAGCGAGGATGGGGAGAGCACCAACATTTGAGCGAGGATGGGGAGAGCACCAACATTTGAGCGAGGATGGGGAGAGCACCAACATTTGAGCGAGGATGGGGAGAGCACCAACATTTGAGCGAGGATGGGGAGAGCACCAACATTTGAGCGAGGATGGGGAGAGCACCAACATTTGAGCGAGGATGGGGAGAGCACCAACATTTGAGCGAGGATGGGGAGAGCACCAACATTTGAGCGAGGATGGGGAGAGCACCAACATTTGAGCGAGGATGGGGAGAGCACCAACATTTGAGCGAGGATGGGGAGAGCACCAACATTTGAGCGAGGATGGGGAGAGCACCAACATTTGAGCGAGGATGGGGAGAGCACCAACATTTGAGCGAGGATGGGAGAGCACCAACATTTGAGCGAGGATGGGGAGAGCACCAACATTTGAGCGAGGATGGGGAGAGCACCAAGGGAGGCGGGCAGTGAGCCAGTGACGTTGGTGTTGGCCACGTCCCTGGGACAGGGCGGCCATGGGTTGCACGGCACATGGAGGCAAGGAGATGGACGCAGTACGTGGGATGAGGATGACTCATGATGGCACCCTGTAAGGATCACAACACTCAATATAAAGATAAGCCCGTTTCTGATCATTGAGGGAAGGTGGACATGAAGGGAAGGTGGACATGAAGGGAAGGTGGACAAGAGGGAAGGTGAATGGGCCTGAGCAGAAAAGAGGGAGGTTACCCAAGTCTATATGCACGAGCGCGTGCGTGCGTGCACGCGCGTGTGTGTGTGCGTGCGCGTGTCTGCATGCGTGCGAATGCCTGCCTGCATGCGAGGGGGCAACCGTGCGCATGTGTGTGGGACACCCCTTGCATGATCACAACCCCACCCACATACAAGTACTGAAGGCTGCCCATCCGACCAACAGTGCTGGGGATTGTGCCGCTGAGCGGAGTGTTGGCCACTCGGCTGGTGTACAGCGCATTGCCACGTGGATGCATTGCCACATGGATGCATTGCCACGTGGACGCATTGCCACGTCAACGCATTGCCACGTGGATGCATTGCCACGTGGATGCATTGCCACGTGGACGCATGGTGGTATGCAGAGGGGCGTGGTGTTGTAAATGTATCTTATATATACAACATACATAGGCTAGAATAGGTGTAGCTCTTTAAGCCATTGGGGGGTTGGGTGTACACTCCAACCACACTTTGTGGTTGGGTCAAGATTTGGTTTGGTCTTGGTCCTTGGTTGGCACTTGCCAACATTTGGTCCTAAGGCCAACCAATCACAAGCTAGCAACATTGTGGGGTTCCCTACTCCACAAGGCAACTCACCCATTGGCCAACTTAGTGGCCAATAGGGTTGCACCTTCTTCCAACCTCTCTTCCTTGCATGCTTGTACTATAGAGCCTCCTTGGCTCATTACTCAACCATTCTCTTGAATTCTATCATGGTATTCAGAGCCAAATGGCTCACGCCACCTCCCTCGATCCTTAGGCCGTAATTTCCTCTCCGCGTCTTAGATCTAGCCTCCCGCGGCCTCAATCCTCCCTCCCGTACCTCAGATCTAGCTTTCCGCGGCTCAGATCTACTCCTCCGCGGCCTCAATCCTCCCTCCCGTACCTCAGATCTAGCTTTCCGCGGCTCAGATCTACTCCTCCGCGGTCTCAATCCTCCCTCCCGCGGCCACAATCCTCCCTCCCGCGGCCTTAATCCTCCCTCTCGCGGCCTCCGACCGCTCTCCCGCGGCCTCAATCCTCCCTCCCGCCGCCACCCCTCCCTCACGCCTTCCGTCGCAGACGGCCAGCACACCGTCGCGGACGGCCAGCAAGCCGTCGCGGACGGCCAGAAAGCCGTCGCGGACGGCCAGCACACCGTCGCGGACGGCCAGCAAGCCGTCGCGGACGGCCAGAAAGCCGTCGCGGACGGCCAGCAAGCCGTCGCGGACGGCCCGCAAGCCGTCGCGGACGGCCAGCCAACCGTCGCGGACGGCCAGCCCGCGGCCACGAGCACCCCGCGCGTCGACGCGGACGGCCAGCGCGGAGTCGCGGCCGACCTGTGCGCCATCCCGAACGGCCGCCGCGCGATCGCCGACGACCTCCGCGCCGACGCGGACGACCGACGCGGAGCCGCGGCCGACCCTCGCGCTGACGCGGACGGCCGACGCAGAGCCGTGGCCGACCCTCGCACTGACGCGGACGGCCGACGCAGAGCCGCGGCCGACCCTCGCGCTCTCATGGGCGGCCGACGCGCCACCGCGACTGACCTGCGCAACCTCCCCCCTTCATCCGCGCCCTGCCCCACACTTCCGCGCCATCCTTCCTCTCCCCTACCTCCTCCCCTCCCTCCTACTTCACCCTTAATCGCACCAGCAACAGCACCTAGCAGCGACCTTTAACCCTAAACCAGCAGCGCCACCCTGTTACGGCACCAGCAGCGGCACCTTCAACGGCACCAG